CTTGCCAAAACAAGTCGCGCACTTTGCCATCAGTCGTTGGGCGGGAGAAAGGAGCAAGGAGTGGGGATTCACCAGGCAGACGGCTCGTCTCAAGGACCCCGGCTATATGCATATTCGGCACTGTAAAGTTTGCCATGTATTCATATTTCACATATAGTATATTTCTTGTGCATGTGCAACTCTTTTGAGACATAAATTTGCGAAATGCCGTGCGTTAAACAGCTGATGTTTTATGGCCTTATGCACAACTCGAACGTGCAGAGAAAAAAAATATTCTGTAAAAATATGACTTTGTTATTTGATCCGTTATGTTAATTTAAATCGTTTTTTTAGTTAAATACTTGATTGTATTAGCAATACATTTATGCCCAGTGCCTAAGCTTAAAATAATAAATTATCTATGTAGTAGGTTTTTGAGAAAGAACATCTTCCCAACTAATATTTCAACATATCTTTTCATTACTTTTTGAAAGATCTACTTTATTATTTTGTATTAATAAAAAAGGTCACTGCTTCATTTTAAAATATATAATTTAGTCAACAACCCCTTAATTTATTAAATCAATTAGGTTTGCATTTTTTGCATTTATTATTTTCTGTGTGATATTGCGGCTAGAAAGGCTGTCGAACTGCCTTGGCAAAGCAAATTGCAATGCCTTTCCACTCAACGCGTCGGGCGTTAGTTGGAATTTCAAATTTGTTTTCGGTAGCCGCTCTCGCCCCAAAAAAACAAAACAACAAAATACAAAAAAAAACGAGAAAAGATAAAAATTCATGCCTTGCCTTAATTTGTGTATAATAAGTGCTTTGCTCGGGCATGCTGGCGTATGATGAATATTTATAATGCAGAGCCAGTGGCAGCGATAGCGCCAGCATCTTCATCGCTCACAAACTCAGCTCGGAACTTTTTAAGCAAACAAATGAAAAATGAATTTCCTGCTTATGTTTATGCTTGGCATATGCTGAATGCTTCAGCTCACACACACACACGCACGGGCTCTTACAAACACCATCAAGGCAGACAAAGGCAGGGCGTGAATAAATATTACTCATACGCTGCGATGTGCAACATTGTGCAAGTGCCAGAGGCAAGTATTTACACCTAGACGGAGCACAATCAAATGCTACACAAATGTGTGAAAAATGCATAATATCCACAAGAATGTGTGGGTCCGTCCGGGCATCCAGATATCCATATATATATATACGAATATAAAGATATAGGATTGTTCGCTGCAAAATGGTTTCCATGGCAACAATGCCGTGTGGCAGCAAGTGCCGTCAGCAGCAGCACAAGCCCTAGAAGAAACAGCAGCACACGCTCATAATGATTATCCATTGAAATGGAAATGCCAGCCAAGGATTTAATATAATTCGCAATGCGGAGAGTGCGATCTGCTGGGCGAAAAGTTTTCAAAACTTCAACCCAAGAAGCAGGAGCAAGGATGCACCTCAGCATGAGTTGCAGGCCCAAAGAATAGAATTCAATTTAAATAGATTTCCGCTTAGGGGAAATTTAAAGGAAGAAAAAAAGCGTTTCCCAGCAGAGAAGGCAATTGTTAACACTGAGCCAGCTTGCTGAAGCATTTCCGTTATTGTGGATGTGTGGGCGTGCCATGCTGATTGAAAAAGTACTAACTACAAACACTTAACACACCCAACCATGTCCATGTATGCACAGAGAAAAGTTCTAGCACGATATAGAATAGACATCACAGATGTTTATATCAACCAAAATTTCTTAAAAATAATAACTTTAAATACTTCAAGTAAAACTCCTGTCTGTTTGAATATTTTTTTGGATCCCCAAATTTTGATAATTTTGAAACGAACGGATCATTAAATCGTTTAATGTTTGTCCTTGTGTATCTATGCATTGAGATGGCACACACAAAAATGTGATAAAAATAAATTCGAAAATGAAGTGCTGGCATAACAATTGAATGATGTTTATTTAGACAAAATTGATATTCTCTATTCAATTCAAAGTGCTGTTAATTTAAATGAGTATATATGGTATATTTATTAAACAAAAATAGGTAATTTAAAATATACATTGAGTGAACCAGGCTATTGCCATCAATAAAGTAATCCAAATGGTTAGAGCATTGCCGAAGATGTCTTAACACTGCCATCGCCGGCAAATATCCTGCTCAAAGGAACCGAATGCTAAGCAAACGTGCGTGCGAAAAAGGTAATTGAAAAATAGTTACCATTTCCTCTGCTACCGGGATAGAAGAAAAACTTCAGTTTTTCTTCGCTTTCGCAAATGCCTTTCGACGATTTCTTTCAGGAGTTCGCTGGCAATTGCTTATTTTAGCGCTTCGCATTGGCAATTCGCAATTCGAAATTGCTGCAATTGAAATGCAGCCAAGAGCCTTCCCACTTACTGGCAATTCCCTGGCACTAGAATTAAATTTTAATGAAGTTATTTGAATTTTAATTATTTCGAACTTGTTCGGGGCACCCAGCTTCTTTGGCGCCGCTTAAATCAATGACCGGAAAGCATTATACAATTATATTTATATGCAAGCATAAAAGTCTGGTGAGTGTGTGTGGCTGTCAGCTGGCAAATGATTTAAGTTGCCGGGCGCGATCCTGGTTTTTTGGCCCGGTCAACCGACCACATGCCGGCAGCATATTTCAAACTGTCCGGCCAAATCACGGGCAAACGCAGAAATAAAATCACAAAGGAGGGACCACCGCACCGCTCTCTGACTTTCCGAGGCAATAAAACATAATAATTAACATTTTGCGAGCCGTTTTGATAAATGACGATGCGGTGTTTCGCTTAAATTATACATAACGTAGCGTAGCATACTTTTCAGCGTTATGCTAATGGCCAAGCTCAACCGCAGACTTGCATGGCAAGTTTTAATTACATTTCGCCCAAGTGTGTGACATGCGGAGGTATATGTGGGTGTGTGCTGCATTTCCATGAGACTGACAGCCAAGGAAAAGTGCGAGCGGAAAGCAGAAAATGTAAGTAATGACTAAATGCGCACTCTGACAGTTTAACATGACAAAAATGTTCTCGTTTCCTTATTTCTGTTTTAGTTTTGTTTTTTTTTGTCGTCCTTCCGTCATTTTTCCTCCTTTTTTTCGCTGAGCTTGATAAATGATACACCCAGGCACTAGCAACAATGTCCTGGCAAACTTTTTCTGGACAGATACGGTTAACATTGTTGCTGGCGCTACACTTTCACTGCACTCGGGTCGGCAATTCGTTTGACCTCCCTTTGGTCGCTTTGTTCGGGGAAAACCTTTGAGTGAGCGAAGGGGATTTCCATCATAAACCAAATACAAATGCACCATAAATACAAGTGCGGGACATGAATGTGTTAAAGTAAAAGGCAAAGTCCTGGCGGCGAATGAAATGAAATGGAAAGGAATGCTCAAAGAAAGTCAGAAAAAAAATATATAAATATATGTATGCATGAAAAGGCGAGAGTATTATTTATGAGTTTGCGGCAAGTGGCGGTCAGAGATTTTTATTCTGTTTCTTTGGGTCTTTTCAGCAGAAAAAGTTCTTGGGATTGGTTTTATGGAGTCTTTTTATCCCCTTTAAAATATAATTTTCTAACCAAATTTATAGAATATTTTTTTAGCGGTTTTAAGTTTATTTACTATTTAATAATGTAGAAGTCTGACATATTAATATATATGACAATATTAATTGAAATATAAAATTGTAAAAACAAATAAAGCAATTGCTTTTGTACTTTAGCTGGTAAAGTGTATGTTAGCTTCTATAAGTGCTTTAAATATTGTTCAGTTCTTTAAATATTATATTTAACCCAAATTTAAATCATTTTATTCGTTTATTTTAAGGCGGTTTTTCTTGTTTAACTTTTTATTTTATCCAAGTTTCAAAATGTTCACGTTCTCATTTAATGTTATAAGTATTTGCTTTTAGTTTTCTCTAATTAATGTTTAATTAGTTTCAAATGTGCTTTTAAAATATTCCCAACGACAGAGTGCAACATTCCTTTTTGAGCCCATTTAATTCGAAATTTCCAGGCGCTAAAAGCTTAGACCCATTTCGTGTCTCTTTAATTGGTGTAGAGCATAATTAATTAACCTTTGTCGAGGTGACCAAAGCAACAATGCCCAAAAAGGCAAAAGGCAAAGGAAAGGGCCTGTGGCAGAGAATTAATGTGATTACATTTCTCTCGTTTTCTTTTAGCACACTTTTCTATTGTTGTGTCATTTTAAATATTTAAAACTAAACAACATGGGCCAGGCAAATGAAAAACTTAACAACTTGAGAGGTGGCCAAAATCCAAGGAGACACAAATACCCACATATAGTAAATATGTATATATATATATAAATGCAAAATGGTTGGAGTTGTCGCCAAGAGGCGTTTGCTGACTGTGCAAATTGTGAGTTTTATTGATTTTCAGTTTCACACTTGGCTCACATGGCATCGCTTTTCGGTCCGAATATCCTTGGCATCCTGACGGCATGCCATGGTTGCATTTTTAATGCGCATTGCAGTGCCGGAGTCGAGCAAATATTTAATAAAATTTTTAAATTGCGCATACGCCGCTTGTGACCGAGGTTAAGGCAGATCAAACTGGGGAGACTATATTCCAGTCTCCGTTTCCAATCCATATTTACTTCCATAGCTCTGCGAATACACTCGAATTACTTTTAACCCAATTATTATTCTTATCTTTTTTATGTTATTAAATGGGATGTCTTTAATTTATTTAGAACACAATTAAAATGAATAATAAATATATAACGTTTTCTTAAGTTTCCTTTAAAACTTTAATTTTCATAAAAGGAGGCTATAAGAATTTTATTTAACGTTTCCAAAAAAAAAAATGTAATAAAATGTTACACGTATACATTAAAATTTTATAATAAGATACTGTTAAAGAGTGCGATTACAATATTTAAAAATGGGAGATTACTTTTGAACTGCTAGTATTATGTAAATAACAGGAAAAATTCTTGCAGCGTCCTTCGATCTGCAGCAGGCATTGAATCAATTAGACCCGAGCTGAACGTGCCCGCAGCATATTTGTGAAGGGTCGCACCGTGAAATAGTAGATAAACTCGATGGCGCTGAGGATGCTGGCCCCCAGGAAAAGTCCCAGCATTCCGCCCATGGAGACCACCACGTCCAGACGCGTTCGAATCGCTTGCCGCCGAAACTGATCTGTCGGCAGAGCGGGAATTGATATTGTCACAGTGCGAAGCGTTGTGCTTTGGTTATATCTGTCAAAAGTAGACAATAAAGCTTGAAAAGTTAACTATAAAACTATAAAAACTATAAAAAATTATTTTCTGAGCTTGAAAAATTGTGAACAATATAAATGTCTAATAATTAAAAAAAAACAATATTGCAACTTTTATTTATAGCTTTTCAACAAAAACAAAACATACAAAATTTGAATAATTATGGAAGGGTAGTTTTCGAAAAGTATGAGCAAAGCCTTCAAGATATGATACGTTCGCCTAAGAAACTTACGTGGAAAAGGCCTCATAAATAATTTGGATATCGCCATCGTTGCAGGACGGCAGACATCCGCAGCTATCCTTGTGGCCCTTGTTGTTATTCTTTAGTAGCTTGGAGTCTGGCTTTATCAGACCATGTGACTCCAGACATAAGAAACCATCCAGATCGCAATCCGGGTATCGCGGATCTTCCGTTGGACTCACGAATATCGACGCGCATCCACACGTTTCTATTTGCATTTTCCTGGCGCAATCGGCGATGCAAGTGGTGAAGCTATAAGCCTTATATTGGCTCGCCGGCGGTGACTCATTCGGAAACAGACAGCTACGGATTTTCGGGTCGACCTCATTCACATCCGGATCGTTTACCATTCTCACCACTTGAATTTGGAAATACTTTCCTTGCCCCGGCAACGAAATAGGGACCCCAGGTGGCACGATGGCCGTGTGCGCAATATCCTCCTCATTTAGCACAGAGACGTGTACCGACGTCTTCATACCCAACTCCAACTTGGCCTTCTGATATGAAGGATCCAAGTCTGTGTTTAGCCAGTGCTCCGAGCCAGGCTCATTGTTCTGCAGCGAATTGAGCATGAAGCAGGGACCGAACGGAGTGATCAGGGGTTGAAAGTACTGACAACAGTCGAACGGCTGTCCGGAGAGCTTGCACTCGGCCATCACGTCCGAGCAGTTGGCTCCATACTAGTGAAAATAATGGAAACTATACAATATAACCTGGACAAACCTAAACAATTTTATTAATACCGGGGACTGTTAATTGCCCTCAAAAGGCTAAGAACTTTTTTAAAACGGGAATAAATAATTATTTACGAAGTTTTTAGAAACATTTCTTAAAATGTCATACATACATATGCACAGAGAAAAAAAGCTCTAAATTAAAGTCGTGTTTTTGCTTTATTTTCTAAACAAAATTTTTAAGCAAATTTCTCAAATATTTCTCTCCTTTCTTTTATTTGCAATTAAACTAAATCAACCTCAGGGACTTAATAAATATTTACTTCTCAAAAAAAACATTACACTATTAGGTGTATATATATATAAACAGCGACTCACCCAGTTTTTGATTTGACGAAAATTTCCGCTTGGACATGTAGCACAGTTAGGGCATTGGCTGACGGTGGGGCAGAGCTGCTTCAATGTGCCCTCGTTGTATGTTGGGGGATATAGAATAGCCGCGAAACCAACCTCCAATTCGTATGGGTAACCTCCATCCCTGTCGACTCCCAAGCTATAAAAAGCAATACTGTCTCATAACTAGACCTTAAGCCACCTACTAATCACAACCTTCCTATGTAATCCACGTATTTCGGAATAAGTTGATACTTGTGGAGGTACTCACATACGCTGACAGAGGGGAACTTCCAGTTTGAAAACGGAGGCAAACTCTCGTACACAATGCTGACGGCTCGTGTGGGAAAACTCCGCTGATACTCCACGATCAGACAGTAGCAGCCCAAGGACGAAACTAACACACAAATGAGCCAAAAAACACGCTCCGTGGGATGCAGCCTATGCAGACGCGATAGGTATATATTCAGATTTCGGCTTCCCAAAGAGGCGGTGATTTGAAAACCCACCTGGAATTTGCTATGTAAGCGAATCCGGCCAATGTGCAATTGGAACAGTAATCCTTTAAGTGGGCTCCGAACTGCCACAACAGGTCCCTGTAGCTACGCTCGGGCCGACCATAGCCATCCGCATTTATAGGTGGAGCCATATCTGCTCGCAGGAGACGTTCAGTAAGCCGATCTCCGAGCTCGGAGCCCTCGTGGCGGACTGACTGGGCCAAATAAATTGCTCTTGACCGCGCACGACACGGTCAGCTACTCGTTGGTAAATTTGTTGGTTTTCCGATTTCCAGTAGATGTGGGTGCATAGAGAGAAAATGTATATATATATGTATGTATTTATATAACAGTAGTGATATTATCATGAGATTATTTTCATCTCAGATTTAAAAATGTATATTTTTTAAAAAGTTTCGTTTTTAATTTAGGTATTTTTCACGAAGTATTTTTTAGTTATATTCTATACAAGGACTTTTCAATTTTGCATTTTTAAAAGCTTATGAAATCTGTATTGCTTACAATGACATACCAGATTTTGGTTTCGCTGTGGATGAGACTTGTTACCATGTTTAAAAAGAATATTTAAGACACACGTGAAAAATTTTTTTTTTACGTGTGAAAGAAGTACAAAAGTGGGGAGGGGTAGTGGCAACTTAATGGCATGCAAGTGCGGTCTTCTTGCCCACACACAAATTTCTTAACACCCCCAGTCCCCAGCCCCACCGTCCACGCAACCCATCCAAAAGTTGCCTTGGAACTGCATATGAAAAGCCTTTAATTGGTATTTGCTTTGTGCAGGTGTCGCAATAAGGATTTAAAAGCACACTCACCCGCAACACAGCACACCTTTGTATGTGGGGGCGAGTATGCATTTATGTCCACTTGAATGTCATGCATTCTGCGGCGCAGGTGACACAGAAATCAAGTTGCAATTGTCACCTTAAGTTGCAAATTTAAATCCGATAATTTTAACAAAGTCATTTCACAAAACATTCGTCATTGACTGCACACGATCAAAAACATACATTTTAATTGAAATTTAAGTGTTATTATCTACCGAAACAATTTATTTTTCAAATAAATTTAATATTTAATTTAGACATTTTTGTTGTTTTATTAAGAAACTCACACTTTACAAAAATTTTATAAATCTTTAAGACAGCATCTTTGCTTTTTAAAGCCAAAAAAATCAATTTCTCTAAAAGCTTAATTCAAATATTTGACGCTCAAAGATTTTGTTTTTGCAATTATTTTGTTAAAACAGTCATAAAGTAAATTTGATGAAGACCATTAGTCTTAAATTAACTTTGATTTAGCTTAACGTTTTAGGCTTATGCTCAGCGGCTCTGATTGAAAGTAGACTTTTTATATATTTTTAAGTATTGGCTTGGTCCCTAAATTAATATTTTAATATTTTAAAAAATGTTTAAGGCATAAAATTGAAAACTTATGTAACATTTTTAATGTGCTTTGTTCTCTCTGATATTTGAGTATCAACTTTCGTAGCGAAACGTTTCGCGCCACTTGCTGCCACCTGGGCTGTATGTGAGCACGCAAAACTTTTCCGACGACCCCCGACACCTTTTTTCACCCACTTCCCGTTCACATTTGGTAGTTGGCCCAAACACCCACTGCTCCCACCACCAAGCACCACAGACTTTCCTGGCCCAACTTCAACTCATGTGGAGCAACTACCTGCAGTGAGTTATTAAGTAAAATGAGTGACTACACACACGACACCACCCTTAAACTGATGCAGCTCCACCCACACTCACTCACTCACACTGGTACGTGCATAAATTGTAGTCAACATGTTTTTGGTGCTTAGAACTCGACGCTAAATTAGAATTATGCAATTACGGCTCATTTGCGCTGCACACGGCTGCTGTTGTCGCTGCTGGAAAAACACTTAAAAACAATTAGAGTGCTTATTGAAATTCGAGCTGACTACATGCGAGTGGCATGAAAAACTAATGCGAAACATTTTAATTATTTATGCATCTCTAAACATGCAATGAGGCAAATTGTTTCCTAAATCGCAATGGCAACGCAAAGCGTAGTTTTCTACCATTTAAGTGAAAATTTCCATTTGTCATTCGTCGGCGACGACGGAACTTTTCGGAACAAAAGTACTCAAAAGAAAGAAGTTTTTGGGCCATACAATTCAATTGTTTAAATGAATCTGAATTAATAAATTACCTGACCTGGGCTCACTTAATTGTTCTTTTAACTAATTGTTGTTGTAATTATAAGAGCCAATACAAATTTATATTTTTTTATACAGTTTTCTGGCCAGCATAAACTAAATTGAGGTTTGATATTTCCAACTAAAACATAAAATCCAATTCGACTGTACAACCTGCTGCTTTTTTTCAGTCTCAAAAACCTACTATTCATATGGAAAAAATTGTCAAGTTATATGCACTCGAATCAATTATTGGTCACCAAAGCCTGCAAACACAAGCTGAACAAAGTTGTCAAATATTTTGCATACTTCATATTGGTCATTTTCTGAAGAGATATTCTCAATTTGAATCGAAAATTGGTCGCAAATCAAAGATATAAAAGCAAATAAATATAAAAAAAAATAAATAAAAGTGCCCACCCCCTTTGGAATATATCGAAAAATATGGTTGGCAGAATGCTTTAACAAATAATGATAAACAATTCTTTGGCAGGATGACATCTCAAAATTCACGTCAAACTTTTTTTGGCGACTGACAATTTAAAAAAAAAAGTTCGTAAAATGTTGGACTTAACCAAAATTCTAGTCTGAAGATTTTAATTAGGGCTTTTAAATATTTTACAAGGTACTACTTTTTAATTAATATTCAAACATTTTGTATATGTCATTAATAAGGGATAAAATTTAATAAAGTAGACAATGAATTGCTTTAATTTATTTGTATTTTATAGTGCCTGCGCAAGACTGGCAAACTATTATTGTGTAGTTGCAGGTATATCGGTAAAATACAAAACCGGCAGAAATAACTAAACAAGCGACAAGGCAATTTAAATACAAACAAGCACACAAAATTCGGTAAACCAACAAATGTTTGAGTGTTGGACGGAGGAGAGTGGTGGAAGCATCGTTGACGCCGACACACAATTAACTTCAAAATACTCCAAGCCATGTTAAGTGTCAATTAGGCAGAGCCAGAGCTTGGCAGCCATGAATGCGAAATTATACAGCTAAAATATCAAACATATACAAGTATTTACATATTCAGATTTAATTTTATATATAATTGCGTATGCTAAACAAGCTACCAAAGCTGATTATCGCCTCCAGATAGATGGCAATAAAATTGCATGGAAATAATGAGATCTGCTATCAAGATGGTTGGCGAGGAATGTTAAAATAGCCGAAGACCAATCAAGTTTAATGTGGGTAACCAGTGAGATCATCTTAGAGCTCATCAAAGTCAGAAAACTTTATATTAAACATCTGGCTTGTGTGATTTATTCCCCAAAATCTATCCCATCATAAAAAGTCAATAATTTATTTGGGACGTTTAAAGTTTGGTCAAATTATATATTAAAAAAGTTTCAATAAAGGCGAGCCTTCAAGTAAATGGCTTTTGCTTTTGAGTTTGAACTCACATAATCTCCGAACATTTCATTTATAATAACCAACAGGCCAAAAATGGTCAAAACAGCAGCAATAAATAAAATCGAATACCGAAAAAAATCAATGATATTGGTTAAACATGGAATGACCAAATATAATATGCAGACCGCAAAACAATAAAAGTGGACAGACAAAAAACAAAAAGTTTGGCAAAACAAAACCAAATCACACGGCCAGCGTATACAGCAAAAATCGTGTCCAAGTGCCACGTTTTGTTTTGCCTAAGCGACAGGGCGGGATAGGGCCATGACCCCGCCCCCTTTTCCACCTTTTTACCATACTTCACTCCCTCAACCGTCCCCTTCTTGTCATCCATCGGTTATGTTTGGCCCGGCACGCTTTTGCAAACAAAACGCCGTTGTTTGTGTTCCCACATGCGCTGACAATATCGCAACAATGTCGGTCGACAACATCCAAAGAACAGCGAACGGTGCTTCACTGCTGCCCCAAACTCCTACTAAAAGAAAAGCGCCCGCAAAAAAAAGGAAAATCAGACGGGCAACAAAAACTCTATCATGAAAATTTCAGTAGGACTTGCACAGGGAAAATTAAAGTTACTGGCAAAATGGTTTAAATTTATTTAAAAATACAAGATTTAAATATCTTAAAAATCTTTAACTTTAACATGTAAAGTGTAAGAGTTTATGGTTTTTAATACAAATTTAAGTACATTAATAAAGTAATAAAACGTTTAATAAACAAATGAACAAAATTATAATAATTTGCTGGATGCGCAATATTATGAAGATCTTTAAATCTAATATATAAACATTTAAACTTATTTTTTCCAATATTAATCTGAACTCTGTAAATATTTTTTTTTAAATATTACAGAAGGTAGAAAAATAATCCAAAAGGTATATACCCTTTACAAAATGTTCAAATTTTAGTAAGTAGCTAACGCTAAAGTTTCTTGTTAAATTGATAGGTGCATTTTGTTCAGTGTGCACTTGTAAACAGTTGGGGCGGAGTGACACTAATGGCAGCTCTACTTTTGCATACCCCAGTGTCTTCCGCTTTGCTGGGCTGCCAAGACAAGAAAATCGAGTGCAGAAGCAATAAAAGGCCAATAACAATGCAATAATCATAATAATACCAATGGCAAACCAGGCAGTCGGCAATGTTGCCGCCGCAAAGCAACTTGCAACCAGCAACAGCAGCAGTGGCAACAGTTGTTTTGCAGTATCAGCAATAAAAGTTGTAACAATTATCATTTGAAAGTGCATTGTTCCAGTTGTCTGATGCGGCGCCTAAGTAGCTGCAACAACACCAAATGCAGCTCGTGCCACAAACCAGCAGCAACAACAATGTGCCTACGTCAGCGACGGGTAAAATTAATATGCACAATCCGCTGCAATTGCAATTTGTTGAAGAAACAATGAAGCGCACAAGCAGCTAAAAGAAATATTTTACATATTGTCGCATAAATTTCAAAACGATAATCACTGCAGAATATCAATTAGTTGGGTGCTGCCTAGGGTCTAAAGTCTTTGTTTAATATGGAGCAAAAGCTCAAAT